AGAGAGAAGAGAGGAGGGAGGAAAGTTGTAAAATATCAAAAATATCCTTGCATTAAAATTTTAATTCAAAATTGCCAAAATTATAAATTTCCTAATTTATCTATTGATTTATGGTTAATATTGGTTCTTACAGTTACCACAAACTAATTAGTTCTCATTTGATTATGCCCCTATATATATATATATATATATATATATATATACTTTTTTTTTCAGAACTCTTTAAATCATGATATTTCTAAGAACCGATATCATGTTCTATTTAATATGAATATAAATTAACGTATTGATTAACATATACTTAATACTTGTTTCAGATATAATATGTTTAGAATATAAACTTTTTTGACACGTTTCTGACACGTAAAAAGTCTTACATTATGAACCGAATACATACGAGACAAATATATGTTAATCATACATTAAATATTATACATAGATGGAAAAAAATATAGTAAATAATATATATATTTTTAGTTTTACTTAAAATTAAGTAAAACAGGCAAAAAAATCAAAATTGTCTTTCATTTAATCAAACTTAAGGGTTGTTTGTTTACCTCTTAATACTTTCATTAAGAGACAGTTTCTGAATCGTTAAGAGATGAATTTTGTTTGACAAAAAAAATTGTCTCTTAATGATTTTAAAATCTTCTGAATGATTTTGTATCATGAGCCTCTCTTAACCATTCATTGCCCTAATTTCATTGTAAACAATTACTAAAAATTATATTTCATTTTGCAGTATATCATGAGAATCTCTTAATCATTATGCACCAAACCATTCAACAACTACCAAACAACTTCTTATTTGGAAAAACTAATAGTCATTAGACGGAAGAATGTAGTCTACTAGAAAACGATCAAACGTACTTATAAAATTGAAGGACGACAGTCGTATAAAAATACATGATTTTGCTTGTTTAAGGAATTGTTTATTCCAAAAAGGTAGATGCATTATTTTGCATATCTTAATCACCCTTTTCACATGATTGAATTGATAAAAAGCCTTTTAGCACCACTTTTAAGTGTCATCTTATGTAGTTTCCAAAAGATTATTGAGTAAAATACATTTTCAGTCCCTTATGAATGTCGATTTTCTTGAATGATTCTTTTGTTGAAGCATATTTTCAGGCGTTTATGGTCGATTGAAACTCGCAGTATGTTTCGGTGGTCTGGGCTCGTGCTCGCTTGAGCTTCAAGCTCGTACAGCTACCAAAGCTAACAATGAGTATGATCTTCGATTTTCATAAAAACTTAAACCTAAATTGTTGAAAGATGTAAATGATTGAAGTTATAAAAGTCTGGTACGAGTAAGGGTGTAAATGATGCGAGTTAAGTTCGAGTATCAATGCATTCGACTCGAACTCGATAGCCATTTTACAAACTCGAACTCAACTGGGAAACTCGCGAGTTATCTCGTACAGTTTACACCCTTAGGTACGAGACATCGAAAATGACCAAATGCCTCTCATTTAAGAGATAAAAGTTAACAGACATTAATGAAAGATACCAAATCCGCACAAAAAAGTAAACCACGATAAGACAGTTTGAATGAAAATAAAAAAAAACCGAGGGACCACATGGACCAAAAACGTACTTTACTCGAAGATTACTTCATAAAATGAAAATTCCAAATCCAAAGAAAATAGCAAACTATGATGATAAAATTAAAATAAACGAATTTTATATACAAAAACAATTACCATAAATGTATTTAACTCAATATTATATATTTAATAAAACCTTTTTTTTAAAAAAAAGTATATAATAAAACATTTAAACAACAAGGTTGGTGTCTGATTGGTTTAAACTTGCCTCCAAATGTTAAAAATATCAAAAAATCTCAGGTTCAAATTCAAGGAGTAATAAAAATCCTCTTATGGCCATGTAGGTTCAAATACGATGACTCCGAACTATTTACAAAACAAGTAGTCGTCCTAGGATTAATGATCTCGAATAACGGATTGGATATCCTGTAAATAAAAAAAAACATTTATATACCGAATTTTTTAGGTCTGTTGAAGGTTAGGTGGATTTTTGGTCATGAAGATTCATTTATAAGGTGGATGTGATTATGTGAACCAAGTGACTCTTGGGTACACAAGTTCCCATTCTGCATCCTCTCTCTCTCTCTGTGATAATTAATGGAGAACAACGGAGAAGCGCCGCTTCTTACCTCTACACCCGGGTTAAAGAACGCTCACTTCACCGGCGATGTCGAGGATATCCCTCCGATCAAAGGAATAACTGATTTCTGTGTTCAATTTGGAGTCGAATCGAAGAAGCTCTGGTACCTAGCTGGTCCCGCCATTTTCACTTCTATTTGCCAATACTCCCTTGGTGCCATCACACAAACGTTTGCAGGTCATGTTGGAACTCTCGATCTCGCGGCTTTCTCTGTCGAAAACTCGGTCATTGCCGGTTTTTCTTTGGGAATTATGGTTAGTATTTTGTTTAAATCTTATTTGTTTCAGATGCCGTCGGTCGTTAATGGTTCTAGAAGGTTCTGAAATTGAATAAGCTTTGGAATCAAAATTTCCTCCGATTAATTTTATTAGTTACAACCGAAACTGGATTGATTGATTGATCAGTACTGTATGATGTATGACATCTACAGGTAGGGATGGGGAGCGCACTGGAGACTTTGTGTGGGCAAGCATTTGGAGCAGGTCAAGTGGATATGTTAGGAACGTATATGCAGAGATCGTGGATTATCCTGTTCGTCACCGCTCTCATTATGCTTCCCCTCTACCTTTTCGCAACTCCGTTACTCCTCTTGATTGGACAAAAGGAATCTATATCTTACGCGGCGGGGAAGATGGCGCTATGGATGATCCCGCAGCTCTTCGCTTACGCCTTCAATTACCCAATCGCTAAATTTCTACAGGCGCAGAGTAAGATCATGGTGATGTCTTACATAGCGGCAGTGGCACTGGTTTTCCATACCCTGTTTAGCTGGCTGTTCATGTTGAAATTGGAATGGGGGCTTTGGGGAGGAGCTTTGGTGCTCAACTTTTCATGGTGGTTCATGGTGGTCGCTCAGATGATCTATATCCTCAGTGGTACATGTGGTCGAGCATGGTCAGGGTTTAGCTGGGCTGCCTTCACTAATCTATGGGAATTCGTTAAACTCTCCTTTGCATCAGCGATCATGCTTTGGTACCAACTCAAATTACCATCTTATTTCTCTCCTATCTTTAAAAAATGTATATATTTACACATTTGTAAAATTAATCAATAAACAGTAAAAGTAAATAAAAAGAACCTATAAAATTTATTTTTACCAATGACACCTTTTTTAAAAAAACTCTCTAAATTGTGAAACGTGTGAAAACCAGTACATCATGTGATATTTTTTATGATTATTTTTATCTATAACTAAATTTTAATGTAGTGATTGACGTATATTTGTTTCACAACTTGAACTTTTTTGTGTATTTGTGAAATAAAAAATACCCGTAAAAAAGTTTTACATTGTGAATCAAGTACGTAAAAAAAACAATCACATTGTGAAACAATTAATATATTAAATACTATACTTAGATAGAAAGATATCATCTAAAATAAAATCTTAAGGTATAAATTTTTTACGGATTTCATAAATTATAAAGTTCTCAAATAATTAAGACTCAATACACACACACACACACATATATATATATATATATTTAATCATTTGAGAACTCTAAAATTTGTGAGATCCGTGCTAAATTCTACCTTAAAGTTTTGTTTAACATGATTTTTTCAGTTCAAATAATGTATTTAACGTATTGATTAACATATATATATTTTTTCATAATGTATTTGTTTCATTTGCATTCGGTTCACTATGTGAAACGTTTTTACATTTATTTTTTGTTTCACAAACACATCAAAAAAGTTTACATTATCAAACAAATACATATGAAACACATATATGTTTATCAATATTCTAAATTCTATTCTTAAATGAAGAAAAATGATATGAAATAACACAAATATTTAAGATAATTACAATTTCATAGGTTTAAAAAAAATCCATATATATATATATATATATATATTCTGAGTACTACAATAAATGTGTTTTTAAAAACTTGGTGCAGTTTGGAAACATGGTATTTTATGGCATTGGTCCTTTTTGCTGGATATCTAAAGAACGCCGAAGTTGCTGTGGATGCACTTTCCATATGGTTAGTATTATTTCTCATTTATTATTCTTTACAATATCTTGTTAATAATTGTTCTTTGTTTTCTGGGTTCATAATAATATTTTAATAATTGTTTTGAGTTTGGTTCTAAAGATTAAAAGTAACAAGAGGTCTCAGGATCAAATCTAAAGAGTAATAAAAATCCTCTTATGAGCACGGAAGTTTAAATACGGTGACTTCGTGCTATCTGCAAAGCAGGTGGTCGTTTTGGGATTAGTCGGCGCAAATAGCGGGTTGGATATCCAGGTTAATTAAAAAAAAGAATTTTTTTTAATATTCAAGAAATCTAAAAATATATTTATTGTATTTTAAAAATTAAATAGATGATTTAACGGCAAATACTGTTAGTGATATAAAAGCACAATTTTAAGATAACAAATTAACAACAATTTCTAAATTAATAATAAACTTTCTGTAGGAATATTTCAACGTTGACCACAGTTTTCTGCTGGAAAAATTCAAATTGAACTGCATCTATTCATCATTGTGGAAAATTTCAAATTGAACACTATATTTGTTATTGGCCTTTCTCTTTCAACTACGGATTGGTGATTGGTTTACTAGGCGTCCTCGTGGGCTATGCATATGAGCTTTTGTCGGGTGATTCATATATATACACACAGTTATTTTAATGTAAAATAGTAAATTTACCTCTATTATCTTATGATGTGAAACAATACATAATGTAAAATAGTAAATTTACCTAAATTTACTGTTATGCGAGCCGACTAATACCAGGGTGATCACCAACTTTGCAGATCATCCAGAGTCACTGTATTTGAACCTCCGTGACCACAAGAGAATTTTTATTCCTTCTTGAATTTGAACTTGAGAACTCCCGGTATTTTTGAACTTTGGAGCCAAGTTCAAACCAATCAGACACCGTCCTTATGGTTATGTTTTCATTTTATATATATATATATATATATTATACACATACAGACAAATAGATAAAAACAAATTCAAAAAGTGACAACTTAAAACAAAGTAATATCTTGCGGTTTGTGGCATCAATGAAGAAACTCTCTGCCCTTCTTCCACTGCTTCACTGTCTTTTTTTGAGTGAGAATTGTTTTTATTCTTGTTGTTATAGTACTTTGATAAATAAATTAAAAAATTATGTGTTCAAACTTAAGTTTATTGCATATAAAGAAAACTGTTATGCTTCTATTTGTATTTAAAATGGAACGACTATAATCACAAGGGTGTTGCCTGATTGGTTTGAGCTTGGCTCCAAAGATCAAAACTACCTGAGGTCCCAGGTTCAAATCCAAGAAGAAAAAAAAATCTCTTGTAACCACGGAGGTTCAAATGTGGTGACTCCGGGCTATCTGCAAAGCAGGTGGTCGTCTTGGGATTAGTCGGCTCGCATAACGGGTTGGATATCCAGGTTAATTAAAAAAAAAATGGAACGACTACCGTATTTGACTCCTAGTATAATTAATCAACATCCAATATTAAATGTTATGTGTTACGTCCTTCTTTTATTGCTCATTATAAATAATTAAAAAAATAATAACTAAAAAGAATAATTAATTCTGATTCCAATCCATTACATTACATTACATCAAAATCACAATCACTATCAGGGTATTTTATTTTAATTGCCTCTTTTTTCTTGGTTGTATTCATCAGAATCACAATCACTATCAGGGTATTTTATTTTAATTGCCTCTTTTTTCTTGGTTGTATTAATATCGCATTTCCAAATACCAGGAGAGAGGGAGATATTTTATGTGGGGTCGATTATATTAAATATTTTGTTTGTAACAAATTTTGCAGCACAAACATTGTTGGGTGGGCAATTATGGTAGCAATTGGATTCAATGCAGCAGTCAGGTTAGTTTATAAACAAGTTTCTTATCCAAATCCATCATTTTTTGGGGTTAAATTGAACCACATAATTAGTTTAATTGACATCATGATTAAACCCAATTAAGAAAAATCAATTGTTTGATGCAGTGTAAGGGTCTCAAATGAATTGGGTGCAGCCCACCCTAGAACTGCTAAGTTTTCAGTCGTCGTCGTCGTGATTTCTGCATTTTTCGTCGGTGTACTGCTGGCCATCCTCCTTGTCATTTTCCGGCATCAATATCCGGCCATATTTGCTGATAGTTTAGAAGTTCAACAAGCTGTTTACACGCTTACTCCATTGCTAGCAGCGTGCCTTATCATTAACAATATTCAACCCGCACTCTCCGGTATGTAATTTTGCTAATTCTCATTTTACATTTGCAATTTTATTTCACCAAAGTTATCCTGGAGTCAATTTTCAACTCCATCTTGAAGAGATGATAGCTCCTTTAACGAGTGGCACATCCAGATTTTTGATGATGGAGGGCGGAACACAAGAGAAACTTCTCGAAAGAAGTTAGGAACAATAGTTTTGGTATCTTTTCTTTAGGTTGATTGGGGGCGGTTGACCCCCTTAATACGGCTGTGGATCTGTCCCTGCCTTTAACAGGTGTATTGGAGTCGAGTCAAGCCAAGTTTGCCACAACTCATGAGGCTTGGCTCCTGTTCACAAATTTTGTTTTAACAAAGGGTATTTTTATGCATATTTGATTACTAGTTCAAGATTATGGTAAATATACGCTGTTTTTTATATGTGGAAAATGTGTACATATGTACAGGGGTGGCAATTGGGGCAGGATGGCAAGCTGTGATCGCTTATATCAACATTGCATGCTATTACATCTTTGGCATACCTTTGGGACTCGCTTTGGGATTCGGAGCCAATTTTGGTGTCATGGTATACATTTTACTCATTTGATCTCTACTACTTTTTATTACTACTATAATATTATCTGACATACAAAATAATATTGCATGCATGTAGATAATTTTTTTTTATTAATCTGGATATCCAACCCGCTATGCTAGCCGAGTAATCGTAGGGCGACCACCTGCTTTGCAGATAGCCCGGAGTCACCGCATTTGAACCTCCGTGGTCATAAGAGGATTTATATTCCTCCTTGGATTTAAACCTAAGACCTTATGGTACTTTTGACATTTGAAGCCAAACTCAAACCAATCAGGCACCACATTTGTATTTCATATGGATAAATTTTAGTTATTTTCCATCAATGGATAAAAGTGGGGTATGTGTCAAGTAGTGGATTGAGGAATTCTGGTAATGGGGTTGAAATTCATATTTATAAAAAAAATGGGGGAGGCTAAAAAGTTGTGAAAAATGAAATTTATAATATAAAAATGTTAAGAATATTAGATCAGCTAGACTGAGACCATTTTCCCCCTCTCTCTCTTTATATATATATATATATATATATATGTTGTAACCCTCTTTTTCAATTCCACATATTCTCACAAAAAAAATAAAAAATTTACGGGTTCAATTGTTCCCCAACTATTGAGCATAGATCCAACTTTACACCTTTATAGGTGCCCCCAATGACTTTAACCTTATACTATATGTGTGTGTGTGTGTGTGTTTTTGAATTAATTGATGTGTATATTAATGAATTATGAATATTATGATATTACAGGGTATATGGATAGGCATGTTGACTGGAACTGTGGTACAGACTCTAATCTTGTTCTGGATTTGCTACAGAACCAACTGGGACAAAGAGGTACTTTTAATCATTTCAACCACCTTTTATCACTTTCTCTCTTCTTTTTTAGTAAAAGATCGGATCGAGTTTAATTGAAAATTCATTTTTTATTTTCTTTCAATTTTAATGGGGTTTTTATTTAATTGCAGGCATCGATGGCTGAAGACAGAATTAGACAATGGGCAGGACAACCAGAGGAGGTGGTAGATCAACCAAAGATTTACTGAAGGAGAGTTATGATGATTTATTTTTGTTTGATTCGAATCTCATTGGATTTCAGATATATTTTTGAAGGAAATTAATTGCATTTTAACAAGTTTTACCAGATGTATACAAACTTTAAGTGCGATTATTTACTTCAATTTCTCCAAACGATAATGATCCAACATGCCCAAGATTAAACTTCCTTACAATGTTCCGATATATTGTATTTACATACCATAAAACTTGCCTACGCCTTTTACATTTAATGAGGTTGTACCTCCAAACTGGTTGAGATCTATCAAGTGTATTGAAAGCATAGTGGTGTTTGAGATTGCTTATAAAAACAACTTATTGGCTTATTTCGGTGTGGCACCGGTAATAAACACTTTTGAGTGTTTGGATAAACAACTTATAATGGTGTCAAACCTGTAATAAGGAGTTTTTGAAGAAGTTAAACTCTTCTGACTTATAATAAGTTGATAAGTGTTTTTATAGAAAAACATAAGTTGTTTCAAATAAACAATCTCAAATACCCCCTTAATATTGCACGGGGCCGTGTTAGAGGACAATAGTGGGACCCAAGATTTTGCCAAGCAACTGCACCTTTAAGGTTCATCAAAGACCTGCAAAGTTGTCCGATGTGTTTTTAATCAAATTCCACTGTTTTGAGGGTTTTTTCTTAAAATAATTTGGTTGATATAAAGGGAAGTTAAGTTCTTTTGTTGATTTCGAAAGACTTTTTTCAATTTTTTGGTTGATTTGGTGGAACTTTTTCAGTTTAATGTAGTTCCTTGTATTTCCTACTTTCCCGGAGCCCCCTAAAAATCTGGCGGGTGCACCTTTTATATCTCAGGAAAAATTCTACGACAAAAATAAGTTGGGCAGATACTTGGATCCTACTCCGGGCTGCCAGATAGTGTTCCAACATGAGATATGGAACAGGACCTCCAAATTTTTTGTTTGGGGCCTAAAAGATTTTTACTCTTTGGCAATTTCCTATTCCGATTTCTAAAAATTTATGTTATTCTATTTTGTAAGATTTTTAATAGAGTGAATTACACTGTTGGTCCCTGTGGTTTTGCTCAAATTTTGAATTCTGTTATCACATCTATATGATACGATGAGTGTAATTTTTATCACATAGTGTGATGCGATGAAACTGGGAATAAAAATTGAAGTGTTGGTTATCGCATCCTTGTGATGCGACATATTAAGTTTGTTGTACTAGTATGGTGCGAGGAGTTACTGTTATCGCATCTATATTGTGCGACAAGTGTGTTTTATAGCATCTGTTCTGATGCGATAAGTTTGGGTTATCGTATCAATGAGGTGCGATAAGATTGACATATTATATGTTTAATGCGCCAAATTGGTATGCTTTATGTTTAATGCGACAAGTTTGATATCACCAATGGGTTTGATGCTATAAGATGAAGTTGTCTAATCTTTCAGATGTGACAAGAGGGTTTATTTTGATAAAATATTGTTTATTTGTTATTTATGCAAATATGAGCTTTCTAAAAGTGTTTTGGTGATTTTTACCCTATAATAACAATAAAAAAGAATTTCTTACTAGACCTCATGGTCTAACCCTCATTTTGTTTTTAAAAATGTGCAATTACAGGTCAGACACAAGCGGAAGATAAGGGAAGTGGGAAAATGAGGGTTATAATTTACTTCAAGTAACGTTTCAATAAACGAACTTATGTATATCCAAACATATACCAAAAAATAAACTAGCTTATATTTTACCAAACAATTTCTGATTTAGAATTAGGAGTCCCATTACAAGTGGCACACCAACAAAAGTATATAATAACAAAACTACAAAACACAAATGATTGTAATTTATAAATGACATACACCAAAAGTACATAATGCACAAAACTACAATAAACACACAATTCAAGAAAACCATTGGCAACAAAAGTCATAACACCCTATCTATTACATACCTTCAAAGTTCAAATTATAATAGCTTTGAAAATACATTTTTTAGAGTGTTTTTGTATGTTTTTTTTAATGTTAGAATCAGATAAAATGGTATATTGAAAATGTATATAATAAGTCATGATTTTGATGTATATGAGGAGCAAATTAATAGGTAGTGGTGTATTTATAGACATGGTTTGGCAGACATAAGTTAACTTATTTTTTGAGTACATGTTTGAATGAACATAAGATAGCTCATAAGGGAACTTATTGAAATATTAGTTGGAGTAGCTTTTTAGTAGCTTATTGACACTTTTTTCAATTATATCCTCATTAATATATTAACTAGAAGGGGGTACTCATGCATATTTCATTTTATTCTTTATCTCAGTCGATATTATAGTATGGTCTTATGTGATTTAAAAAAAAAACGGTGATGTTTTTATTTTTGAATAAAATATAAATTTGAAGAAATCATAAAATTTGACAAAAATATATCAATATTAGTATCAAATTAACTATTTAAAATTCATATTTTTTGTGTAATTTTTTAATTCAAATTTTTTATTATAATTTAGGGAAAATTGCACCAAAATGGAACCAACTTTCACCTAATTCCTATTTTGGGGAACCAACTTTCAAAATCGTCATTTTGGGGAACCAACTCGCACATGATTCCTATTTTGGGGAACCAACTTTCAAAATCGTCATTTTAGGGAACCAACTTCCACCCGATTCCTATTTTGGGGAACCAACTTGCAAAATAATTATAGAAAAATAACTAAAATTCGTTTTCTTTCCAAAAAATAATGCAATAAAATTTATTTTTCAATTCAAATCTCGTTTCTTTTTAATTCAGATATCAAATTGGACATTTTAAAAAAAATTCAAATTACCACAATAAAAATTGTTTTTTTACTAATGCAAAAAAATCAATTTAATAGAAAAAAATTAATTGATACGGTTTGGTTAGATATAAAAATCTTGAATGCGATATTTAATATTTATTTTTTATTGCATCAATTAATTTTTTTTCTATTAAACTGATTTTTTTTGCATTAGTAAAAAATAATTTTTATTGTGGTAATTTGGATTTTTTTTTCTTAAAATGTTCAATTTAATTTCTGAATTAAAAAAACGAGATTTGAAATGAAAAATAAATTTTATTGCATTAATTTTTGGAAAAAACGAATTTYAGTTATTTTTCTATAATTATTTTGCAAGTTGGTTCCCCAAAATAGGAATCGGATGCAAATTGGTTTCCCCAAAATGACGATTTTGAAAGTTGGTTCCCCAAAATAGAAATTAGGTACAAGTTGGTTCCCCAAAATGACGATTTTGAAAGTTGGTTCCCCAAAATAGGAATCAGGTCCAAGTTGGTTCCCCAAAATGACGATTTTGAAAGTTGGTTCCCCAAAATAGAAATTAAGTGAAAGTTGGTTCCATTTTGGTGCAATTTTCCCTATAATTTAATTTAGGTTTAATAACGAAATAATTTATATTTGGTTTAATAATATAATTTTCKTATAAAGATAATAATCAATTATTTTGTTAGAACTCGATAATTATCCTAATTATGTTTTTAGATTTTTTATATTTTAAAATGAGGTGTTTATCCTCTATTTGATTATATTTATCCACAGTTAATTACACGAATTCAAACATTGCGCTTTAATAAGTTGTATTTATGTATAATTTATTTGTAATCTTGAATTTTAAGTAATATACATAAATATACAGTATTTCATGCATAAAAAATGGTTTTTAAGAGTTTTTGTCAAATGTTTTATAATATAGTATAGATTGTTGTTTATTATTAATAAATATTAATTATAGTTAATTCTCTCTCTAACCAATGTGGGATCTTAAAATCCACCATCCTTTTTGGGAGACTAACGTCCTTGTTGGTGCACCAATTTGGTTCGTAGACCAACTGTAATGAATATTGTTTGGTTTGTCAACATACTTGGACTCACGGTTCTAAAACGCGTCTCGTAGAGGAGGTATCCAGTTACTTAAGGCAATCTTTGTTCCTCTCCCTAATCAATGTGAGATCTTACAGTTACACTGTTAGTCCTTGTGGTTTGTTCAAAATTTGGATTGTGTGACTTAAACGGACTATTTACACCAAAGGTCCCTAACTTTTCATTTTTCTTTGCACCCATGGTCCCTTGATTTAACACCGTCAACAGATGTTCCGTTAAATAGAGACATGTGCCTCTCATATGAGTGTAAATCCATCTTTTGATATAAAACCAAAAATCAAAACCCTTAACCCTAAGTTCAAAAACGGGAAAAAATTTGAATCTAAAACGGTAACTCTAAAATTCAACCTAGAAACACATGAATTACATCAACCCACAATTTTACAAAAAGCATGAAATCCACGTGAGGGGATGGAGATGCAAGGAGTGGTGGAATCAGGGTCGAGGATGGTACGGACGTACGTCTAGGGTTCAAAAATATCAGGGGTTCAAATTTTTCACTTTTAAAATACAATGGTAGTCTAAAAGAATTTAATGAATTAAAGAAACCCAAAAAAATTGTAGCATATAATAAGAGACAAAAAGAATTTAGTAGATAACAAAGACCCAAAAATATATCAACTAATTATATTGGAGGAGAAAATAAAAAAAGATTAATTGGTCATCCATTATATGTTATTGTTTATTCACTCTCTAATTTTTTTTATTTCCAACAAGGTCCAATGCTATTGGCTATTGCTATCTATATATGCTTGACTGTTTTCGTGCTTCAACAATTCAACTTTAAGATCATGTGCTTGTTATTGTTATATATTTTTGTTGGATATTTTTATTAATTTTTGTTTTTATTGACTATTGTTATTTGGTTATATTATTTTAATTGTTTTTGTTTACTATTGTTATCTATTTTTTCTTCTACATAAAATATTTTATTATTGTTTGACAATCAATCTATTGTTCTTAGAATTTATGATATGTTTCATGGTTTTATGATTAATCAATAAAAAATTTCTACTAGATGTATTTTAGTAATACCTCTTATGTATGTCATGTTCCATAAACTTTTAATCTTAACATATTATTTTAGTTGAAAAACAAGAGGGAAAATAGATTTTAAATATTTTCATTGCCACCTCACCTCCACCATAACCACCACCACAACTATATTCATTACATCAGCCACAACTACCTTCTTCACCGTTGTCAACCGCCACCACCACCATAATCCACCATCTTCATGTCTTCTATAACCATCGCCGTCCACCAACCACCACTGCCTTTAG